AGTTGTTGTTTTTGACAACTTATTTGTTGGCTAATGACTGCAAATAGTTTTAACCAAAATTAGAAACGAGAAATAATACATTCATAAAAATTTAAGTACATACATAGATTTAAAAATCTGATTAAATACAAAAGTCTTATGAAAATGCCACATTACACAACTGTTTAAATCTACGTTATTTTTTATAAATAAGGCCGTAAACATTTCCTTACATCGGCAGTTACCAATGCCGCAAACGATATCAACCAGAATTGAAATTAAATACGCAAGTACTTACAGTACTACATGTATACAAAGAGTAGATTTGCTACTCCTTTTTGGCAGCAGCAAACATCTCTCGTACGCGATGAGAGAGAGTAGAGTACCTACTTTGGCGGAGTAATAGCACGTACGTCAAGTATTTACTCTCTGAAAATTAGTAACAATGTGTTGTGAGTAGAGTACAATGCAAATAGTACTTATTGAACAAAATGCTGCAATTACACTTGCGCTGACCTTTAATACATATGTATACACGCAACATACCTTTGCATCGATTCGAACAATTTGATAAAATCAAGCACTTGTACCTCACACGATTCATCGCAACGAATCTCCTAGCGTAAGGAAATGTTCGTTCGTAAATATACATACATGCATGTACGTACTTATACACGCAACACATTTTAGTATCAAAACGAACAACAGTATCGTTCCCGCACAATATGATGTGTTGTATTGATTCAGTAAATGGTGCATATACGGAACATGAGAGTAACGAGATTATTATGTGAGTAACGATTCGGTACTTCGAGTCAGGGGTTGTATTTGTTACTCAGTAACGAATACATACGGTTTGCTTCAGCTCTACCATTTAAATTGCTGGTGAAACCACTGTAAATGTTCAATTCTTCATCAACTAATGATTTGGTTTTTGGTTACATGTTTTGATATACGGTATGCGAAAAGATGAAAATAAACACCAAAACCCAAAACTCAACCGTAGTGCCAANAGTTACCAATGCCGCAAACGATATCAACCAGAATTGAAATTAAATACGCAAGTACTTACAGTACTACATGTATACAAAGAGTAGATTTGCTACTCCTTTTTGGCAGCAGCAAACATCTCTCGTACGCGATGAGAGA